TCTGGCTGTAGAATTTACAGTGTAAATAATTTCCAGTAGGACAGCGTTTAACGCCAAAATGGATGACGCTTCTATCATGGGGTGATATAATGGTGCGCATAATGTTTCGGCCCGTTAGTATTAGATGTGCCTTAAGACATTAACGACGAAAGCAATGTGAATGCATGGTTAGAAGCAGCTCATATTATCAGAGTATTGGCCAGAAGGTTCTTAATAACTAACTCTCGATCACCGCCCTTAGGTCAGGCCTGTCTATAGTGCTATGTTGTATGCTTCGTTTTGAGTTTTGTTTCGTTTCGGTGTAGTAGAGCATTAATGACGGATTGCTTAACTTACTCTCTTAATTAACATGACGCATAGATGCATCATTACATCGCCATATGTTTTGAGTTGAAAAGCCGCAAAAGCTGTATAGAACAAGACAGAATTGATAATAACGCTGCTTTAATTGACCCTTGGTGACGTTCGGCAAGCGAAATAATGATAGGATGGATTTCACATTTTTACCCTGAAACTCCAGTCAGAACATTTTTAGAATAGCCTTCTACATCGCGATTAACGTTCACCAGTATTTCTGTAGGATTTACTTTCTGTGGACAGGTAATGTATACCATAGTGATCATACGTTTATTTGAGTCCTTTGAATGTTGTTTCCGCAGGAATAATGCAAATGGGTTAATGTTCTTGGAGTAAACAAAATGTGTTAAAAAATCCTTTGATTTAATACAGTTGCGCTTAAGAACACAAACTTTGGTTCACCAACGTATTACAAACTAGTTTGGATATCTAACGGCTAGGGAGGTTGATGTAACAGTCAGCTTTTGTCTCGCCAAGACAGGTTGCATCAATGTTTGTGACTGCGTAGAAACCGGTTGGACTATGGATCGGTGCGTGGATGTCAGATTTGACACAATGGATTAAGACCACCACATCGCAGATGCGAAATTGACTGGAAGAACCGCACAATTGTGAGATATGATAAGGCATTACTTGATGGACACAGTAGGCATGTCAGCTGGAATACAGGTCAACCTATGGATTTATAACTTTAAAGAAAGCATGCTGTGCGGAAAAGCTGAAATTAATCAGCTGAATAAATTGAGGAAGGGTATGCTTTTCGCTGCATAAAGGTTCACTGGTTAGTACAGGCAATGGAAGGCAAATGTATGTAATACGGTTGGTGTGCAATAAGACGGTACAGAATGTCACCAACTTGCAAAGTGTGATGTAAAATCGTTCAGTTTTAATTAATGTTTACTCGACACGGTCGTTTAGCAAAATTGAAGCGGTTTATTCAATTCAACCAGTTGACGGGCACCTGCTCTAGTAAGTGCATTTTGTCATCGCAAAATGACTATGCCTTTGTCTACCAATGGCATAGATCCTACAGATTTCACAAACACATTAAGAATAAGTGGCTAATAAGACCTTGGTAACAATGGGTTGTTTGCAGTTAAATGCTTACAGCTGAGCCAAGTATGACACAGTGTCTAGCATGAATGTTTGTGTAGTTGCACTTTCTCGTCTGTAGGCATGTTATGCTGCGGACAAATATTCCACAAGATCGTTATCACCATCAAGTGTATTTGGGCATTTGGTACTGACTCCCTTTGTTATTCGCTTAAAAACAGAAAATGGTAACACTTCTCTTAATCAGCAATACAATATACGAAGACCTAACGCCTTGATCTTAACGTCTAAAGTGACGGAGTGTACTTACTGACCCAGCCTTATAAAATATGTACTCATCATGTAACACATATTGATATACCATCCTGCCAAGAGACCATGGAAAAACATGCACTAATGCCAGTCGTGGTGTGATCTCTGGGCTAGTGAAGAAATGGTTGGCATTGACCTTAATACGAATGCTCATTACACCATTAACATTGTGACAACCGTTGGATTGCTTCCCATCCCGGCACACGACGTAACATCGAGTGAATGGAGCAAAGGTTTTTGAGAGATTGTGGAAAGACAAACACAACACGCACATTAAACAATGCAAGTTGTTCGTGAAATTTTACTGGGTTAACTGCAGTAGGTTTCAGGCAGCGGAGCGGGTAATCGCGAATGTCGGTTCGTTCCATTCGGATATCAATGAAATTTTAAGTAACGGGCTGTGCTGGATGTATATTTGAATCAACTCTGTGGATCTTTAAAGCGGAATGAGCTATGCATAGTTAAGCTATCCATAATGCTTTTTGGCATATTGGCACTATTGTACCATTTTGTTCAAAACAAGAAATATTGCATGAGACATAAGAGGATTCTTTATACTATATCAACCTATTGCTAAGTAGTAAGTAACAGCTAAGTTTTGTGTCTGTTTAGATGGAATAAACATGATATACACAAAAATACACATGTATACAATCACGTATCTATTCTTCACCACTTTTATTCTGTTGAAACTGCTGGCTGAAAACTTTATTTAATGTGTGAGTTAGTTACGGTTAACAAAATATCATAGCTAAGATACCTAACCTGCTCCAATACTGCGGATATACCATAAGCATATTTATGTGTACATTGCACTAATGTGGGACATGAAGCTGTTCAACATATAGTTGATTGTGCCGTCAGTTTTAAATAGAATCGCTAACTAGGGACCTCTACGCTCAGCCCGTGCACATAATAAACTTACCACTAGCAGTGGAAGGAGGCCTTCCCAAAATAAAGCCCTCAACTACCTAATGATATAGTTGAACTATTGTGTGGTGTAATGATTACTAGGCTTTATGTAGTCTCACGGACTTGTTACTTAACACAAATGAATTATTTGAAGTCACTTTAACAAGGATTAGGATTAATAAAAAATACAGTTTACAACGAAAGTGCATGATAAGCAACATACGCATATGCACACCAAGGTATGCTTTTTTGCAAAACTACCTATTTGTCAGAACTAATATGAAACCATGACAATGAAGGTAAGCACATGTACTTCATTAGCTAAAGCTAACACAGCAGACAGTATTAAACATTTAATATATAGTGAGTGATATGCTATAGGTACTCTGGAGTCAAGGGAGTCAGAATGCCACGGTATTTCTAGTATATACTTATTTGATTCTTCATTCATAGACATGGAAAAGCCAATGTCTTCCAAGTGTTTTGGTGACCATCAACTAATTGATAACAACGCTAAACGCAAGTTTCCATAGGCATGAGTGAATTAACATTTAGGCATCAGAGAGCATTTACTACTTGGGTCATTGTCCCTAATATGTCCTTCCAGCAAATCGATACCTCCGCTTTTAACTTTGCAACAGAAATAAAGTCCATTAAGTTCTAACGCATTGGAATCACATGCAAATAGTTCAGCTGCCGGAAAATGGCAGAAGGTATTACACCCCTCCTTATCTGTTCGCTAAATTAGATCAGAGGTCAGTGATTGTAGCCACGGCAACTTTTAATTTACCGCCGAGCCTAGATGCAGTGTTTACTTTGTTTCCATATACCCTCGGTAAGCGTATCCTAAGTGAGTCATAAGTGCTTCCCTCAGAGACATATCTTGGGGACGGACTGCGACGCAAGGATCATGCAGTTGACTGTGTACTCAAAAAATAACCTGAATGAAATGCTTGATCTTTTCCCCAAGGAATGGTTCACATGCCCGGTATTACAGCAACCAGGTTCAACTATATTTTCTACCCTGTACTTTTATGTGGCTAGGTTGCACGTGTTAGAAAATTGCATTGTACCCGTCAACAACACAACGGCCGCAAACGCTCAAATGAATAATAGAAATTTGCAAATGATAGCATACATGCGAAGTAACCAGTATCAGGATCACATAAACCAGTTCCGATTCTAGGCAGATTTGTAGTATTTTAGCAGTGTGACCAATCGGATTCTCAAAGCCTAACATACTAGTTGCTCAAACTGTTTGCCGTTGGCCAACGTCGCCACTGAATTTCTGTTTGTCGAAAATAAAGTTAATGTTTTGTAGCGCAAAATTGCCTTATAAGAAAATTTGATACAGATTATGGACTTTGTGTAACCAAACCGGATAAATGCTAAAACGAAAATAAAGTTTTAAGTAAGTGGTTATTAACCCCGGGTCCTGGTAGACGAGAGGCCACCATCAAGAACAGATAACCAGCCGTGAAAATGCTCGACCATTTTCCATTGCTGTTACGCCGCCCATTGTTTGTTTCCAATGGACATGATTTGTTCCCAGATGAAGAATGACCATGACCGATCCGCGATAGTTTGATGGCATATATATATATATATATCTCCGATTGAAACCATTGCAATATAATGGATAGTGAGGTAAAGGAGTTGGGACCCGTGTCTAAGGGAATTTATGTCTCTATGGGGTTAAGCCTGTGCTACGTATACTCGATAAGCCCACGTCAGTGAAATGTGAGTTCTGCACTATTTAGAATATACTCACTCGGTCACAGTTGTTACCATCTACCTCCCGTTGCCCAGTAGACTTAGCAATCATTGCGAGAACGCAAGTTTACGATTGTTAGCCATAAATTGGCCGACAGAATTGCCACGGCTGAAACACCTGAAAAGAATAAATTTTCCCCTATCTATTTAGGGGAAGCGCGATGTCTATCTAACTGTAAACTTCCGCGAAGAAATATTTCAAATACTCTATTTAGTTGCTTTAATCCTATATCTGTAAAATTGAATATGTGTGTCTCGTATACTTCTGCTTCCCCTCTAGCCAAATTATTAACAAATGTTATTTGCCATGTTATCAGAAGGATATCGTCAATATCTATTAATCAGATGCAACTAAACTGAGGATTACAGTATCTTCTGAAGATGCTGCTCAGAGACAGGCATATGTTATCATTTTTTGAGGAATGAATAATTTTGCATTATATTTCCTGCTAGTTTTCTTCAAAATAATTCCCTGACTTAAACTCTACAGGATTGTCTTTTCGCTGCAACAAACTGCAGACGAAGTATGTCTAAAAAATCAATAATTTGTCTACTTAATATCATTTATGAAAATTGTCCTTTTTCCTTCTTAGACGCAACGGTGATAATCGCTAGTGTAGTTGTACTCTCGATGGGAACGGATAGTCAACGGTTTGCTGCAAGTCCGCTCCGAGGCCTACGGTTTTTCCAGATTTTGAGAATGATTCGAATGGACCGTCGAGGTGGCTCGTGGAAACTCTTGGCTTCCGTCGTTTGGGCGCATCGTCAGGTAAGAAAACATGCTTACCATTACATTCGCCTCCAATAGCAAAATGGTGGGATGGGACATTCTTATCCACAGGACATTTTGGCAACAATGGATAAGCAAGCTGCACATATGCTGGTAGATTGGTAATTACGGATATATAATGACATTTATTGCTACAAACGGTTCTAGTAGAAGGTGGAATTTTCGGGTCCAATAACAGTTCCAACAGTAATAGTCACTAAGTTAAAACTACAAATGCTTACAACCAATATTCGTTTTTCCATAACATATTTCGAATTTGTTTTTGTGTGTGTTAATTTGATGCTTTATATCACCTGCTGTGGTAAATGTTGTTTGAAATTGACAGAGTTGCGTATAGGAAATGTGCATTCTTACTGGCAGTGTGTTTGCGCTTATTGTAATCAGTCTCTGCATTTTGCGCCGTCATTACAAAAGTGCACTGCAGGTTGCTACGTAAAGTGCACCTCGGTGCCATGAACCGTTGGGCTGTTGAGGTTGTATTACAAATGTGGATCTAAGTTATAGATCGGATTTCTTATCAAAATTTGAATATGTCTCGCTTGCAAAAGCCGTCTGTAGAGAATGACATGGAAACACCCTACACAGAAAAATGAAAATTTGGATAATTACCTTGACTCCTTTCATTCCGTCATTTTACTTAAATTTGCGAACACACTTTCTAAGAAGTCCGTTCCAAATAATAGACTATCTTCTGCCTGGTTTTGTTCTTACTAAGCATCTGCTTTGGAATAAAACCAGTTTGTGCCCAAGTTTGAGCAAGTGCGCTAATTGTGGTCATACACAGCTACGATTGCTTTCTTTGTACAGTGTTATTACTACATCACCTAACAAACTTCCGATTGGTTAAAGTGTAGTGCATTAAGCATCGGTCCATACTGAGCAAAAAATTAATGGGCTTGCGTAAACTAATCTGCATACTGAGAGTGCGTGTATTAAGGAAGTGGACGTGTTGTCCATTGATAATTAACTAGCACGTCACATGAAACAGAATCGGACCGTGCATACAGTCGTTGCAACTGTTAAGTACTAAGCAAAAACGATTTGTTTTTGTTCCTGTCAAACGTGATAATGTAGAACCCGCCGGCATTTAGATAACCAGCATATATACTTCTAGAATAAAAATAGGTTAAATTCCTGCTGAAAATGAAAATTTGGACATCATGCCACATTGATCAACAGACTAGTTATTTGAGGTGCATATTCATTTTGATAAAGGAAACCTTAGTTGTCAATCATTAACTACGCCACATTCCGTGTCTTTATAACAAATAAGCTATAATTGTCATGTCTTAATAAAGAATTGCATCAACACTATCTTGATAGTAGTCGGCCTCACACAAACAAAACTAAAGCCCGGAGTATGGTGTCTTGTTAAAAAATTTATGTTTATTTTAGCAGGGTCACACACATTTCGGTACCTAACTAACTACCCTACAACAAACAGATATATCAAGTGCGTACTTTCTGAAAACAAACTAATACCAAACCATTTGTTTGGTATTAATGTACTCATTTCGAATAAATTTAATACTTTTCGTCTGCACCGAGAAAACTGATTACTTAAATCGGTTAGTGATGTGAGCGATCTTTAATCGCACTTATTTCTTGTATGCAATAAATCAATATTACTTCACGCGGTTTTTAAGTGTGTCAGATGAACGCTACAAGTACTATCATGCCTACCGCCAAAGTAGTAGTAGGAATAGTTGTTTTGTTTAAAGTATGCTACTATGCTGCTCTTTTTAGAGACACGGAAGCCAGCATTACAATATGTTTTACCAGTGAAGGCTTCCATGAATGTATAGGACATATCTACTTATACTTATATCATTTAACAAACTATAGGAAACTATAGATAACGGGAGGGATGACGGCTGACTGCGATATTATTTATTGTTCAAGCTCATAACAATCTAGTAATTTGGAATCCAAAATAGGCGTGGAAATATTAAAACATAACAAAATTATGCAGTTGAAAAGTTTGGTATTATTATAAGTTTTCAACTTGTTTATTTATTAACTTACATATTATTATTCCTACTGAATACTATTAAAACCTGTGTTAAATTTCCACATTGGATAATGCAGCAAAGTTAAATTAAGTTTCCCAACTTTGATTAAAAAAGCTACATAAGCTGCAGTGATTTCTACTGAAATGCTTACCAGTACGTAAATACCTTAACAGAAATCATAACTAACAATTTTGTCTTTTTTCCTTACACGGTAACCGATGTTCCTAACATCGTCTACAGTTATTTAGAAATCTTCCGAGAGAGCTAGTTTAAATTTGCATGGCGTGTTTATACTACCTAACTAACTCATACTGACCCAGTTTCTAACTCGCTGTTTTGACGTTGTTCAGCATCGTTTAGATCTAATCGTGTGACAACCCAATCACGTTTTCTTGTACAATCATCAATGACACAGTTTTATTGCCGCTCTCTCACAACAATGAACTTCCAAGACATGCTGCGAGAAGCGTGAATAAAAAATTATAAACATTTCGCTCTAGAGGAATACAATTCAATCCAGCTTTCGTTCATGTACTGTAGGAAATGCATATTCCGAAGTGATATTGTCACTAGGACCGAAACTGTACAAGAAACTAAGAATAACTATGCATCCCTAATTACACCTTGTAGCTTCACTAATTCATTAAATGGTGTATTTGGTCGAATCTGAAGGCATGGAATAGTTCAAACAGAGTCGAGGGTTTATTGTTCGATGCCTGACTATAGCCCACTAAGCGAACTATCAAATTCCACGACTTGACATTTAGGATAATTTGCATTTGTACAAGTCCTCAAAGGGAATCAAGAAAGCAGCGGACGGGTGCAAAATGGTAGCAGAATAGTTTTTGTGCCTTATGTAAAATAAAACACAAAGGTGCTTCTTAGGTTGGACTTATAAGCCGAGCACACAGCATATTTTTGAGAACAGAAACACATAAAAATTTATTTCACAACTGCAAACGTGGAAAGGGTTAAATAGATAAAAATACGCACGAACCAACAAAATTTTGTGCAGATTCGTTCGAGATAACCAAAAGGTTAGATGAGCATGCTGTGTTTAGAATTCAAAAGGGCCGTAATTGATGTACCCGAGGATTATAGCGAAACAAACAGGAAAAGTTAGCAAGCTACGTACGGAGAAAGAGAGCAAACCGCTATATGTAACATACTGATGCAAAATAAAGATATTTGAGATAAGATGATGTAGTTTTATCTGGTAACTGCCAATATTATACATATGAGTCCCAGTTACTTTAGACATTGGTACGGTTGACGTAACCAATTGTAGTGTATTAAGTTAAGGATAACCAGAAAAAACTGCGGCCTAATCTATGGGGAAAAAGCTATGTTAATACGTGTGTTTATGGTGGACAAGCAACTTTAAAGAAAGACGGATGATGTCCCGATGTCACTGCTACGTAAACCAATTGTTCTAGGATGACACAGGTAAATGTCTTCAATAGCGTATTAAAAGCAGATGGTTTGGGAATGTGCAATCGATGCTAACGATTGATGACAATCTATGAGGAAAAAGGAACATGAACAGCTTGGAAAAAGGTTTACATAAATTAATTGATTAGGAATAAATCACATTTTAACCAATGCCTTGCGAGCAACCTTGAATTTTACGTCATGCACAGTTTTGCACACGACGAAATATAACATCTTGCGTTGCAGAACATTGAAAAAACGGGTCGGTTGAAAATAAGCTTTAACATGTTACACATGTTTTTGGTTGAAACAGATTAAATCTACTTCTTATAACTGAGTTGTATTTGTTTCAAAGAGTCTCGTTCTTCATCGTTCTCATCCTGTGCATAAAATGTACGTTTTCTCCCTATTCTTGTTAATTGTATTATGTGGCTCAACCATTTTACATCTTAAGTAACATGAGAACCTATTCAACGTAGGCGGTAACTATTAAGCTATACTTCCATCATAGTGAATCCAATGGCTAAACAGTGTTTTCATAGTTTAATAAAAATATCTTGCGATAGGTCAGCAAGAAATATGTGTCGCAAGCATGGGGCTGCGTTTACTTTTAACATAGTCAATTGTTAAAACCAAAATGTTAGCAAGTATAAATTTTTAACGACCAACTACCTGGCCGCACTCTTATGACTGTTATCTCATTCTTTTCCTTAAAAACCACCTTCTCGATGCAATACTTACTACGCATAGCCGGTACTTAATGACATCGTGACTCAAATATTGGCTAGGGCGTTTATTGAACGGTGCACCTGTGGCACACTGTTGCATCCGCGCTATTTCAATAATGTCATGGTCTGACAACATGCGCACCTTGAGTTTCTGTATGAAGACAAATCAATTTCAGCAGTTATATCTGCAAAGGCTCATCATAACATCAGCAATTGGAGGGATATAACCGTGGCAATGAAGGTATTGCCTATCATCCTGCATATCTAAAACATTGAACACCAGAAGTAAGCCCCGAACTCCTTAAAGATAAAGTAATCAACTATCCCGCGTCTAAGGCAAACTGCAAAGACTAATTTTGTGCAATCTGTAGTAAAGTTGTTATTAATGCCAATATATAGGGATCCAGCCTAAACAGCACAGTGAAGTTCATACCGTCCGCCACCAAAACGCAGTTCAACATGGCGAAGCAAACTAATGCAACTGACATGAGTTTGGTGACGCAGTGTGGATCCTGCTCTTGTTAGTTCATAGTTTTCAGGATTAGCCTTTGGCTTTTTATATTTCCCTGATGTCCGTTGGGGTTTGTCTACAAAAGCGCGAGACAGGAGAGTGCAATAAGTGAAAGATCGCAAGATCAATCTTTGCCCATGCAGTTACCGAAACTCGAACTTTCGGTAAGTCAAAAGCTGAATTTCGTGCTTTCGTGGAGTGACGCTACATAGGTGGAACAATTGCTCTCAGTGACGTGGCTGCCAACTCAACGTCAAGACAACCTTTATAAATCATGTAGTGCATCAGCAGATCACGGTGTTTTCGACTCCTGACACATGGTAGAAGGAATATTGGAAGTTAGCTGAAGTAAAGCTGAAAATTACTCTCAAGGAATTCGCCGGATGGCGGTCGAAGTCACACCACAGCTGACTAGGTGAAAGC